GCGAGTCTTGTAACCCCTCCCCCGGCCCTGGCGCAAGCTTGGAAATATGATTGGCGGCGATTTCATTTGAACGGGGGGACGGCGCAAAACGAGAAGCATTCAGACCCAATTAGTCGGAAGGAATGAGGTATTTGCGGTCTACAATGACAGAGAAGAGACTGTCAAGTTTGGCTGCACTCAGCATTGAATCAAAACGCACTAAAGCTTTAGATCTTAATAAGTTTGTGAGGCGTTTTGCTGAACAAGATGGTAATCGCCGCATTCAGCTGTAATAGGCATGCCAACTTGATGCTCTGCTCACGGGTGACTCGATGACCATACAAAACTGTTAGGATGATGACCTTACGTGTGTAAATATATTTTTTTCTTTGTGGGGCTCTGCCCCCAAAAACACCATTAAGTCCTGAGAAAGTCAAATAAGACGGTGTGTAAAACTACACTGCCCAGCCAAAAAGAATTAACCACTTACCATTAGGTAAGGGCATTCCACTGGATAATAATACCCCTGCATTATAGCGACAACAACAACAAAATAATAATATGGGAGGGGAGGCTCACCCTCCCACACTTTGAAAACCCCTGCTCTAACCCCTTCCTCCTTATATCCCATTGACCCTGCATCCATTTAGCCTTTCATCCGTTCAACTATTTATCCCTACATCCTTTCATCCCTCCCTATTTAGACCTTCCCCCTACATGCTGTCATCCCTTCCTCTTTATATCCCATTGACCCTTCATCCATTTATCCCCTCATCCCTTCGACCCTACATCACATTCATCCCTCCCTCGCTACAGCCCTTCTACCTCTTTTATCTGCCTCCCTAGATCTATACAACTCCTCATCCTTTCCTCCCTAAATCCCTTCATCCAGTCATCCCTTTCATTACCATATCTCTACTTCCGTACATCTTCTCTTTTCATGTCTCCACTTATCTATTTCTATTCAATCTGATGCATACTTTAGTCTAATCCTAGGTGTTGTCTGGTGGTTCTTTTTTAGGTTGAGCAGAAACACGCCTGAGACGGAACCCCCAACATGAGTCTCCCATTGCCTTGACTTAAGAACGACCTCCATAACAGCTTGACAGATGTCACCCCTCACCCTTCGTCAACCCTTCCACTTACATTCATCACTGCCTGACATCCAATATTTCCCATAATTAAATGTGTAACTGACATTTGTTGTTGCATGGTCCTTGTTAGTGAATGTGCAAACACTGTAAATGATCACTGCATGCTGAGAAATGTATAAAGTGGATACTCATGTTATGCTAAATTCCTGTTTAAATGCTTTACATGTTTTAGTATATTTGTAATTCAAAAGTAATTGACTAGGTCATATCATTTACAACTCCTCAATCTTATACTGTGTCATGGTATTTCACTGGCGCCCCCCACCCACAAAATTGTATTTGTGTTTTATTTTTAAAAGGATAGATTCATCTCTTATGATCCACATGTTCCCTGTGGTGCTTTTATCAGCTGCAATGGTGACCATTCTGCCACACATCCTCAGGAGATTTCTTGCACAAAGGGAACTTCTAAGAATACAGGATGTGAAATTTCATCCCATACCCGAATGTCACTTCTCTTAGGTTTTAGTGCTGTATTCAAACATTTTGAAGGACAACATTAAGGAAGCATCATTATACATATTTCATAGCAATTAGCAATTTACTAGTCTGAATCACAGGATATAGACTGTGGGAAGAGGCCTGCTATTGGCCACTTATTTCCCAAGGTATTTCCATGACCTTCCACATTAATTTAATCTGCGTGTTACCGTTTTGCAAGGTCACAGTCCTCTGCTTAGAGAGGCTCAAGACAATTGTGTTTGGTATACTGAAATACAAACAAGCAAGATCATCCACCCCCCCAATCAGAATGATAATACGGGCAGCCAGACTTTAATCCAGTGCTGACAGGCCGGTGAAGATAGGTCTGGCACCTTACTAGCTTTATATTGACTGATTTATAAAGATATTTACGTTCAATGGTGGTGCCATGAAGATAAAACTACCCTGAAACCTTCCACTTTCTAATTCAATGCGTTTTACTCAACTCAACTTTATTAGTGTGAATGCTGTGCCACAGCATTCACACTATAGTTCTTCAAATCGTTAATCTTCTTCTTATTGTTATTATTATTATTATTATTATTATTATTATTATTATTATTATTAATTCAACCAATACTTTGGCTCTCAATAACTTTTCAGCACATGATGGGAAACTTTAAACTTTTTCAAAATATTTTATACTTTTTGAAATATTCAGCTTTTTTAACTATTTTTTTAACATAGAAGTCAATGGGAGGGACCTTCAAATCCTCTTTTAACACTGTGCGCCAAATGCTACTCCTTCCACATACTTTCAGCTAGAGACTTCATTCCAACTTTAAAATGGTCACAAGACCTTCAGCTATAAAACTTTTTGAGATATTTAACTTAGTTTGGAGCTTGGTAAAGAGGCCTTTTTCAGATTTTAACATTAGTGTGTATTGCGCAGCTCGTTAAGTCTTAGAGTGCATTTATTCCTTTACTATTTGTTCCTATTATTTAGTTCACCCCATTCATGATAGGCAGAATACAATAAATCATTTTGTATATTGCAATACATATAACACTACAAACACATTTCTTCAAAAGGAATATGAAGATTAATCAACTTTTTCTTGAGCTGTTTCAACAACAATATCACCGTCATCATTTGTATTGCAGAACTGTTTTATTAGACAGGTGTACCTAATAAATTGTCAACAAAGTGTCCTACTTACATGTTTACCTTTTCTTTCATCCAGACCAACAATGACACCTGTGACTGCTGCTCTCTGGGCGGCAGCCATGTTGATGGGACTCCAGGGGAGTTCTTCATTCCCTGACAGCAGGGTAGACCTCTCATCCAAAAACCTCTCCTCCGTCCCAAGAGACCTGCCATGGAAAGCTGAGTCTATAGACCTCTCATGCAACCACATACAGCTACTTCACAAAGGAGACTTCAAAAACACCCCTCTCCTCAGATTCCTCAACATTTCCTGGAATAGTTTGAAGGACATCGATGAAGAGACGTTCCTCGACACGCCGCTCCTGAAGGATCTGGACCTGTCACACAACGGGCTGAGGAACCTGTCGGGCCAGCGGTACCTGCTCCACACAGAGAATCTTCTGGTACTCAATCTGGCCTTCAACACGTTTCTTACAATGACCCTTGGGAGTGAGTTCAGTTCATTGGTAAAACTGGAGACATTGGCACTTGGAGCCCAAAACATCAGTTTGGGTGATTTCAAGAATATTGCTAAAGTGAAACTGCGTACACTCACTCTATCCCTGGAGAATAAAACCTGGAATTATACAGCAGGCAGTCTGATCGATGTTCAGGCTCAAAGGCTTCAGATAGCCCTCACTGGTTCTCGAATATTAGACCATGATCTGGTTGCTGATACTCTTTCACTCTTCGCTGAAGTGGAGTTGATGAATTTGAGAAGTGGCTACAAAGACCTGAGTGAGCAGCTGATAGAGAGAGTAGAAACCCTCACATCTCACCTGTATCTCACCAACATATATATCAGCTGGAAAGACTTAACTGACTGTGTGAATATCCTTCTGCGTACATCTATTACCCACCTGAGGATCTCTGATGTGACAATGTACAATATGCCTTTTCAAGAGACAAATGTAACCCAGACGTCAAAGATGAAGTCTTTTACAGCCAGAAAGGCAGTGGTGAAAGACTTCTTCTTTTCTCAGGAGGCTGTGTACAACTTCTTTATCAACATACCGGTGGAGAGTTTAGCAATGGTTGAGATGCCAATGATACACATGACGTGCCCAAAGTCGCACAGTCCTATCCTCCAGTTGGACTTCTCCAATTGTGCTCTATCCGACTCCATCTTCTCCAGAGTGGAGGGTGAAGAAATTCTTGAATGTGAGAAACTGGATAACGTGAGGAAGTTGAATCTGGTTGGAAACAATCTCAGGAGCCTTCAGATGCTCAGCAAACGTGTGCAATATATGAAGTCCTTGCGACATCTGGACCTCAGCATCAACTCTTTGGTTTATGACGGCCTCCTAGAATGCTTCTGGCCACCCAACATCACAAATATGACTCTGTCTTCCAATGGTCTGACAGGTTCCGTTTTTAAATGTCTACCAAAAGCAACAGAGAACCTGGACCTTCAAAACAACCAGGTTTCTGTGATACCATCATCCATCTTGAAATTGGGAAACCTTTCATCTCTGAATCTAAATTCAAATAGGCTGCGGGACCTGCCAGTATGCACGGGATTCCCCCTACTGAGTGAGCTTCTGCTCAAGTCTAATTCCCTCCATGCACCATCTGTGAACAAGCTGGAAAGCTGCCCCGAACTGAAAACCCTGGACGTCAGTTACAACCCCTTCACCTGCACCTGCGCACTGAGAAGTTTCATAAGTCTTGGCATCAAGTCTAAAAGGAGAAGTCACACAGGAATTCAATTGTTGAGCTGGCCTAAAGACTATTACTGCACCTACCCAGAGGCCGTTAGAGACTTCTCCTTGAAAGACATCTCAATCCCAGAAGTCTCCTGTAATGTGGGCCTTCTAGCTGCAGCCATCTTGGGCCCAGCAGTTATTGTGATGATTGCAATTGTGACCATGTGCCATCATTTGGATGTTCCCTGGTATATGGGTATGATCTGGCAGTGGACCAGAGCCAAACATCGTGCCAGAATGCGTCAGGTTCGCCCTGAAGATCTGTTGGGTGTTGAGTTTCATGCTTTTGTGTCTTACAGCCAGCATGACTCAGACTGGGTTCAGAACTCCCTTCTCCCCAACCTTGAAGGCCCAGCAGGTGGTCTCCAGATCTGCCATCATGAAAAATCCTTTGTACCCGGAAAGACAATTATTGAGAACATCATCACATGTTTGGAGAAAAGCCGACGCTCCGTGTTTGTGCTCTCTGCTAACTTCGTCAAAAGTGAGTGGTGCCACTATGAGCTGTACTTTGCCAGCCACCAACGCCTTGCTTGGGGACCGGATAGCGTTGTGCTGGTGCTGCTGGAGCCTCTACCTCAATACCTGATACCATCCAAGTACAACCAGCTGAAGTCCATGATGAACCGGCACACATACCTGGAGTGGCCCCAGGAGAGGGCCAAGCACAGGCTGTTCTGGGCTAATCTCAGAGCTGCCCTACAGGCAGACCTGCCAAATGCATCAGTGACTCATGAGGAAGAGTAAAAGGAAGTGGTAAGAGGAAGTTCAAATGGGACAGATGGGACATTTGAATAAAGGGAACATAGTAAGATAAAAACAAATGTGGGCACTCTGGAGTGTGTATATTTCCTATTCTTCTTTCTTTTCTGCATTAGCATTATTTTCCAAAGGTTCTCATTTTTAACCTTGTACAATAGATTCAAGATAAACTAACCTCTTGTAAGCTTGCATTGATTAAATCATAAGGCAACTGCTTTAGTGGACATTTAATGAAAACGTTTATATAAACTAACACTGCAAGTATGTAACAAAAAAACAATAAACTTTACACAAGAATATCAAAAATGAACTTCATTCTTTTGTCAATTTCAACTCCCAAAAAATGTTACAATAGGATTTAATACATTTTGAATGTGGTTGAGCACATGTTGAAAAGAAAACTACAGTCTTACTAAATCTGCATGAGCGGTGTCAATTCAGAAAATCAGCATTATCTCCAACTCTCTGAAAAGAGAGATCCATTTTTAAGGCAAGGAGACCTTATTCAGTTCTGTGATGGACGATGATGACAAGAGGGACAGAAAATCAGTCCAGCTGCATTAACACTGGTCCTGGGATCAAAAGTATGAGAAGGTGAGAAAAGTCACAGGCGAGGTTTCAAGGAAGAGACTGAATGATCATGATTTTCTCATTGATGCAGAAACGATGAAGCACACTGAACAGGTTTTCTCCACATCGCGACACCTGCCTCTCCATAGCCAGACGGAAATCCTCCTTCACTCCTTTGGTGATTCCACGAGTCACTGTGTGGTGTCTGCAGAAAAAAGGGTAAAACAATAATCACAAACATACATAGAGTCAAGAGATGTACTATTATGAGATGATTTGAGGCCGAGATTTATGCCGTCATACAAACATCATACAGACAAACAAATTCATCATCATAAAGAAACAACATATAAAACAGGTTCACAAATGAAATGAGATCAAGTGTTATGAAAAGGTAAAAAAACTAAATTGATTTCACAACAAGACCAACATCATCCTCAAATAACAACAAAAACAACAACAACAACGATGACCACAGAAAGACGAGCAATGGCTCAAATAAAAGAAACGCGGACAGGAAATCAAACTCTTGATGTAAAATGACAGGCCCAAATCAAAACTGTGGGATGACAAGCCTTGAAGTTGGGAATGAAGGAAGGGTGACTGGTGTGGGGGGGGGATGGGGCCTGGGGTACCTTTCCATCGTCTGCACCCCTTGTAGCAGGAGGGTATTTAACTCCACCCCCAAGGCGGGACTAGGGTTCCTAAGGGACAGCAACATTCAACAACTCTTAGTCAGTGAGGGTGCATTCAAGAGTCTTAACTTCTACAGCAATGAATGAAGGTGTTAAATAGAAGGTTATTCAAATCATAAACCCATTCTCTTTCTAATGTCCACTCCATTTAAAGCATTTGCAGTTCAAAGCACATTTTTCCCCACAGGCGACGTCTACCAAGATTATTAATCAATATCACTTTTAAACAGCAACAGAACGGGAGTGTGCAGAGTCATGATGCAAACTGACACGTTTAAAAAAGAGAAGCGCTTACTTGATCAGCATTCCCTGATTGGGCAGCAGCTCGAGTTGGATCCTCCCCCCTTCTGGAGTACGCAGGTAAGCAAACTCCTCCAGCATGTCAATGTCTGACAGAAATCATGAGCTCATGGAAATTACAATCCAAGACAATGGAACAAAAACAAAGTAATTGGTCTTCTTAAGCAAATCCATTCATATCAGGCTGAGGCTTGGGTGAGCAGTTACAAGTAAAAAGGATACTGGTGACGTAGTTGAAGAAATTCTCATACTGGAAACTGCCTTGCTGACAGATCTTATCCACTGCCTTTAAAAACAGCATCTCTCCCTGTGGCCAGTCGTGCTGCAGGAGCACCACCACATGGCCGAGCGACAGGTCGTCACGACTGTCTGTGAAGGTACGCAGCTAAATACACAAAATAAAAAACAAGAGAAAAGGGGTTGCACAAGATTTAATGCCTTAATAGTCTAGAAATACATTGCCACAAACAGTCCCAGTTAAATCAAAAACAATAGGGACCAAAATACATTTAATTAATTATTTTAATTATTTAATACATACCTTAAAGCAGGCAAACATCAGCTGGAAACAGAAAGGTAACACAGCCTTGCCGGTGCAGGGAAGCAATCTCAGGTCATTACCTAGACATTGCAAAAATAAGTCACTCACAATGTTCTGATGTATCATAGCAACATATTTCTGTATCGAATGACAAATATTGTTATTCCTGTGAGTTCAGTATCAAGTGACATTTGTAACAGTCTGTTTTGTCAAATTAATATGTAAGTTGCAGCGATGATAACTTCCTTATAGTATTAATATTAAGTTACATTATGTCACAACATACAGGCAGACACAATAGCACCTTTTCTTTGCTTATTACAAAGGGTCAAAAAGCCGTTTAAACGTTAAAATCACTAACTGAGACATGCTCCACTAAAAGCAAGAGGTATTTACCTTTTCTTGTTTTGGTTTTGCCTCGACTCCAGTCCTCTGGGCTCTTTGTGGGTTCTTGGGTCGGGGGCGTCAGCCCGCAAACGACATCAAGCAGCTTCTCACAGGCCAGCTGGTTCACACATACAGTACAGTACATGCATCACATGTCTAAACACGGCAGGGGTTTAATGTTAAATAATGCATAAATTGCCTACATTTATTAGGTCATATGTCCTCAAAATCCAGTTGTAATGACATGTTTTTGTGTTATGTAACTTTTTGCTAGGGCAAAATCGTTTTTTAAAATTATTATTGTTGAGCATATTCAGCTGAAAATGAAGCTTTGCAGGTTTAAAATCTAAAAGTCATGTGAGACAAATGTAGAAGCCTTGGGGCAAAATGATCCCATATCAGTTAGTCAGAATGGGAAAGTATATATGCATGTGTATCTCAAACTATCTAACAGTTGAACTCTGCTCTGCTGCAACTGTGAGCCTCTTCAATTGACCTTTAGTATAACGCCACCTGCAGGCCAATATGTGTTAAGATTATTAAAGCATTATGTTTTTTGTATAGCTCTAAACATATGTTAAGAATATATAAAAAATAAAATAATATACAACATACTGTAAATGCATTTCATATGATACAAAAGGTACAACAAAGACTTCTCAATACAATATTATAATTGTTTGTGTGTGTGTGTACCCTGTACTCTCCCAGTGCGTAGTGGCAGGACGCCTGCTGAATCAGAGCCCTGTGGTGCTCCAGACTGCCCTGCCCTGAAGGGCTCTGCTGCCCCGGCTGAGGCTGCTGCACTGCGGCCATCTGGTGCAGACTGGAGAGGGCTTTACGGTACTGTCCCTGGAGACACACACACAGATATGATCATCATAGGGTCACGACGATTCATAGAGACACATGAAAAGCTATCATTTTAATATTTAGACATATCTCCCAGTTAAGAAACCCACATACTGTTTTAAGTCACTGGCCGTTATCGGTTGTGTTACAGTATGTTTTAGAACCTCTTTTTGCCTCATTCTTCAAAATATTGTATATAATAAGGTATACAGTAAGTATTGATAGATACTGTTTATTGCTGCTCCTCCAAATATGTATCACAAATAAATAAAGTTAAATGTAATAAATGAAAAAATAGTTTAATGTAAAAAACGGTATATAAACAACAGACAAAAGGGCAGGAAGGGTGATGTCACAAACAGAAAGCAAATACATCATAACCGTTTCTTGCCTGGTATATGATCGTGTCGGTGAGGAATATTCTGAACCACAGCCAGCTGTCTGTTTTCCAAGAGGCACAGATCTTCTTGAACTCTGGTCACAAAAACAAAAAATCAAGACTTTGTTTATGAAATGTTCTCCTTTTGAATTTGTGTAACTGTTATGTTTGATCATGTAACCATCCGGGTTATTGACACCATATGGTGCAGGTCGATCAAATAAACAAGCAAAACGTTTTCATCTGCAGTAATTGTGTGTTTTTTTTAATTCAAGATATTGTGTCCAACTGATCGAACTGAACTGATCGTGTGTGTGGGTGAAACAACAACACATATGAACAGAGGAGGTGTTTACCAGTTTCCAGGCCGTCGTGAGAGTGGAGAAGGTCCCAGCTCTCCCTCGCTGTGCGGAAACTCTCAAGAGTCTCTGACCAGCTGGGCATCTCAGTCTTGTTTACCAGAATGTGTCGACCGCGACCTTTTCCCAACCCCTCCTCATCATCTGAGCTCTGAAATGAAAAACAAACACAGACATGGTCCAACATTAACTAGTAAAAAAAGGCAGGAACAACAGCCACACTATAGTCACACACGACGTCACATTAACAGTATTTCTGGTCTTGAAACGATTACATTATTTCTGATCTGTACTCACCATCGTCTTCTCTCTCCCATCTGCCAATTTGCGTTTCTTATGTGCATGTTTGCCTGCTCCTCTTTCTGTCTCCAGATCGTTATACACCGAGCTGAAATCCTCTACAAGGATCCACGGCCCCGAGCTCAGCGCATTCACACCTGCCAGAGATAGACCCATCATTTTTGATCCTAAGAACTTTCATTGATAAGACAATAGTGATGCATTTCCTGAGAGAGTGGAATAAATCAACAAAGAGAGAGGCTGACCCTGGAACAGTGCAGGCTGAACAGAGGAGAGATAGATGAAGGCGCTGCGGAAGAGGACGAGAGCAGCACAGATCACCACTTGACTGCAGCACCGGGACCTCGTGTCTCCTTCCAGACTGGGCAGGTAGCGACACAGCTCCTTCACTCTCAGCAGCATGTCCACATAACTCCTAGAATAAATGTACACAAACAAATAATAATTAAAACCATTTGTGTACATCAGCACCATCTCTTATATGACAGCAATACATCCATTTATATGAGTACTGGTAGAGTAAATATAATAAACAGCTCTCAGTATAACACAGTGAAATACCACAGCCTTCAAAATGACCATGAATCAACACTTCTCTAAAATAAGACCATTTGTGTGCATCAAGGTCTGTGTAATTGACTCTTTTTTTAGTGTGTTCAAAACATATGCAATGATTTGTTACTACATTTTATTCAGATCTATTCTGACAACTGTGGGCGTCTCCATTTCTTACATGATGACAGCAATACATCCATTTAGATCAGTTACAGTAGACTTAATATTAGAAACACCTCTCAGTATAAAGTCAAACTGAAAAGCATCACCAGGCTCAAACCACAGCCTTCAAAATGGCCACAAATCTAAATGATCTAAAATACTTTGAATAACAGAATATTATGGCCGTGAATGTGAGATGTATTGCAGAGCTGGTGTTAAAGAATGCATTCATTTAAGCTAGGTGTAACTAATAACATTGTTTTTTGTTGTTGTTTTGTTTCTTTCCGTTAACCGTCAAGTGGGAAATAAGTATTTGTTTGTGTTTCTCTTATTATACTAAGACACTGTTATGTTTGGCTGTGAAAAAAGAAAAGAAAATGTATTATGAAGACCATCTATGTTTTTTTGGAAAGGGGCAGGTCATATAAGATTTGTTTCTTCTCCCTGCTCCTTTCCGCTCAATGGTGTGTTGTACAGTCATGTTGGCAATTATTGTACAGTGAGTTTTGCGTACCGTGAGCGGGACAAATAAAAATGAAATGAAATGAAATAACTTGTTGTTTATCAAAAGAGCAACCTGAATACAAATCAACCATGAAACACAGTAATGGCTGATTGACATGCAGACAGATACACTACCTCTGTCCCTTGTCTCCCTGCCACTCGCAGCGTGCTCCAACGACAGCGACAATATCCAACAGCCTCTCCCAAGGTTCTGCCACCACTGACGACTTTTCGGACAGGCCGTCTATCACATAACGCTGGGAGCCACGGGACACAGTGGGGGACTTCAGAGACCCACCATCTTGAGAGCCTGAAACAAAGAACACAAGGAGCAGAAAAAAACGTCAGGCCGGCAGTCGAGAGAAACAATATAGAGGACAAGAAATCTTTGATGTGTCACACTGAGATAAGGAAAAGGAAAGAGCAACATCAACCACTTGCAGCTTCACCTTGTATCTGTACATCAGCTGCGGGTCCACGGGTCACGTAGCCGATGTAAAATTCAGCTGCTTTTAGCATGTACTTCTGCATCAAGCTGGCTGGCAACCGCATGTCCATGTTGTTCATAATCAAAGGAAGGACATCACACACTGTAGTAATAACAACACATTTGAAAGGAAGTTATTGCATGTACAGAATATTGATTTGGATCAAAAGCATGTTTTAGTGTGAGTGTTTCAATCACCAAAAAGTTTCCTGAAGCAGTTGACGGGAGTCTCCACATTCTCTGATGCCTCCGCCTCTAACAAGGTTTCTCCTAAACTGACCTAAAATCACAGCAGAATGTACTTAGCACCGACTGTTTTAGTGTTAAACTGTCAAGACACAGAAGGTATGCGTTTATTACATACCCCGTGCTGGACCACAGACTCTGGAAAGCGCTTAAGAAGAAGGAGCAGCATCTCTGCCTTCTCCAAAGTGTTGAAACACTGCTCTGTGGCTTTCAGTAGCATCTCACACTGCACACGGCCAGGCAGCGTCTCAAAAAGCCCTGGGGAAGACAAATATACATACACGTGTCAAAAGATAGTCCAGATTTCCAAAACCATCAATGACAGTGAATCAAACGTCTCTCACCTCGTAGAAACAGGGCATGTTTGTCCTGGGAGTCACTGCGCAGTGCAGCTGTGATGACACTGATTTCTCTCCAAACAATGGGCTGATCTGGGAAGTTTATAAACCTAAAGATTGGGGGGGGAATGTGTAACTGTTAGCTCAGACTCAGCCAAGGACATTAGACATGAACACTTGTACAGAGCTAGTACACTGAAACTCACATGTCATAGAGTAGTCTCCCTGCAGAGGCTGTCCTCTCTGCATTGCGCTCGATGATGTACATTTCATACTGTGAAAACATGTCAGACACAATTTAACATTGGAAACACAACAGAGGATCCAAACACGTAGGAAATGCATGCAGTGGTTAGACAATAAGCAGCCTAATGTTACCTGTATGTTGAAATCTGCAGGGTACAGGGTCCTGGCAGTAATGAGCCAGGCTTTGGCCGCACAGGGATCATCAGAGACCAGATCCCGGGCTCTCTTCACCAAAAACTCGCAGTCTTTTTGAGCTGACATTTTTACATGCAGCTACTTTTTTATACCGAAGGCGACACACTGAACTAGCTAATGTATGCGGTTGTCCTACATACGGACACGTCTCGGTGGATATATTTAAGTTGCAGTATATAACAGTTAGCCAACGTTACGCTAAACAGAACTGTCTAAATACAGCTATATGATATAGTTAGCAACACGAAGCTAGCTGACTTGCAGCTGTCATCTTTGCTCCAACTGTTTACCAGATCGTGCTAATGTTATGCAAGTATCTCATAGAAATGTAACAACCATGAATATGAAGAGAAAAGAGAGCAATTATAGGCCGTTTTGAAATGTACCAGGCAAACCTAATCCTTTATTTACCAGAAGATCTCTTAACGTTACAATAATGACGTCCCGACACAGTCGTAAAATTGTCACTACATCCTGCTTTACGACAAAAAACGACGCGAGTCAATTCTGACCGTTTGAACCGTTTGAAACCTTATTTCAAACAACACTGTCGACTGCTCATTCTTCAAGTCCACCCAATCCGTGTATCTTCCTCTTATTTGTTGTTCTTTCTTAAACCAGTAAACAGAAAAGCGACTTTTTTTGGTTTTTCTCTTTACTTCGGGGCCACAGGGGTCTTTGGAGAGAGGGGCGGGGCGGGACTCTCGGAAGTAATTTCAAAACAAAGGCCCTCGTCTGCTAAAAGACGCTTAATGATAAATAAAGGGTTAATTATTGATCCATCGAGTTTGAATCCGTCATTATCTTTCTAACTTTACCGAATTGGGAAAGCTGTCATCCCGCCCTCTATAATACTAGTTTTATCAATACAGTATGTCTCTGAGGGGGAGAGCGAGAGATTAAGGTTTTTTTTTACCAGACGAGGGATTTTGTTTTGAAATCACTTCCGAGAGTTCCCTCTCGCTCCAAAGATCATTTGGCCACTTAAAGATGTAAAGAGCGAAACAGATGAACAAAAACAATTGTATTCACTTTTATGTTTACAGTTTTGAGAAAGAAACATATTTTAAACTAAGCTACCCGTTTACCTCATGGTTTACCTTCGTTTCAATAATTTGTTTCCGGATTCGCATTGTTATTTAGGTGAAAATACTGAACATGTATTGAACACATCATCATTGGCTGAGAGTAGCTAGAAAGGAAAATATTTTTGAAGGGTTACTAGGGAAAAAAAGGGGGTAAGGTGTTGGAAACTCATAGAGGAGTAATATATGCCTAAATAAATGTTGTTTAATTGAATATGTTATTTTCTTTTTACAAGTGCAGATAACTGCAGATCTGTATAACTGCGCATGCGCGTCTTCGCGGTCACCTGGTGCTGCAGCCCAAAACAGACACGACCTACAGCTGTTGTGAGTGACCCAATTACCCTGCAGAAAACTGCCCTCCAGGTAAATACTTATTTATGAGCCCGATCAAAACTAGAAATGCTTGTTTCTACCCAGTCGCTGTCAGAAAAGTCCCCAACCAATCATCAACACCTAGCGTTTGTCCGTGTTGACTCTGTAATGCTAGTGACTTAGCATGCTAGGCTGACATATATTTTTGTGTTAGCATACAGCCTTTATATCTGACTCTTTTGTCGTGTCATCTTTCTAACTTAATCCCAAATGTGATCGTGTATTCCCTACACAGCCAGGTAGGCCCTGTCATTAACACCGTCAAGCTAACAGTCTATTAGCCATGTTGGCTGAGCAGCCTAGGGTGTGGGAGTTAGCTTTTGAGCTAAGCATGCTAGCCCTTTGATTTGTGGATTTTAACAGTAACTAATATTGTTTCGTACCCTTACTGTAATTTAAACATTTGATGATATTAGGCTTTAATGTATGTGTGAGGTATGTCTATCTATATAGTCTATATTATCAGCTCCACATGCTAGGAAAACAGGCATGTCACGGCAAGCTAATATACAGGAAGTATCAAAAACAGGGAGATGGCGTAAAATGCAGTAATGCAAAAACAACAGATTATGTAAATTAATATTATAACCTGGTTGACTTTTACATTTTAAAATGTGTTGACTAATATTTGCTTGTTGCCTTTCAAACGTGACACAGGAACATATAATCTCAGAAACATAACATAACTCCACTATCCGAAATGATATAAACTCTGAATGAATAGTGTTGGCTGTAGAAATTATACTTATCATATTATATGTATAATTTACTGGTTAGTGGGGAAACACCTTCTTGTGGTTGCTGGTGTGCTGTTGTGTCAACTCTGAAATGACACATCAAAGCTTCCATGTTTTGAACAAATGTCTCATACTTTAAACCTGGGGACTCTTACTTTACATAACTGGCTCTCACAGGTCAGTATCCATTTGACAGGTTTGTCATACTAACTGCAAATGTGTGTAAGGATTTCTGGAGAGATATTTTGGTTAACATGCTATGACCTCTCATGACCTCAAAGCTTTTGCCACTGCTATATCCTCCTTGGTCTTTAATTAGACAACTCCCACACAACTTGCTTTAAGCACTGAATGTATTTATACTTTAATTTTAAATGTAGATAGGAGGTTGCTTTCATTTGAGAAGATTTGTTGTTTCTATTGCATATGGCAGGTTGTGCCACTAGCCTCTTAAATACTTTAAATGTTAAAGTTTTATGGTGCTTTGTAATGTATGTTAAACCTAGTGTTTCTTCTGCCTATAGTTGTTCTATACTGTCGTCCTTCAAAGCTTATCAATCCCTAACTATTGTAAACGTGTTATTACTCTTATCAGTTACCAGGTAGGGCAACTACATGGCTTTAGAAGTGGAAAGCAGATGGCTGAAGGTGTTAAACAGTTTTGAGGCAACATGTAGCTTGTACAGGCCATTTAATGTACAACCCAACAGTATACATCATATTAGAGAGAGAATCTTCACAAATATATTGTATCACTATACATGTTGTTGGAAGATATCTAAATGGAGCTATTTTCATATTTACGAGATTGCAGTTGTGTGTTTATTTGATATTTAATCTATCGCTGTCTATATTCAATTGAATATATTTAGATCATATTATAACAGTTGTCTTATATATGAGACAATATTCAATTTTTTTTGGTGTAATTTTCCAGTGATTTTGGCCATATGATAATAAAATATGGAAGGAAATATATTGTGTGAGTGCATGCAATCTCCCCATTTTCATGTGTATGGGGACCCCTTAACTGTCACACTATCAAATGAATAATAATCAGGAGCTTATTTTATATTAATATGAATATCTGATATTTGTCCTCTTTCACAGGGTGTATATTTTACAGAAGAGTGTGTTGCTGATGTGAAGATGGAGGACCAGGCTGTGGAGCTCTGAGCCTCCCATGGCTGTCAGCACCATGGACTCGGAGTCGTCCAGGACCCCTCAGCCTGCGCCCGCCCTGACAAAAGGAAGCTACTCCCTGCTGTCCGCTCGAGCTCTGGGTGCCAGGCTGGGCACCCAAGGGAAACACTATTTTTGCGGCTCGGTTGCAGCTTTTACCAACATCGTGGTGACTTTCCCCATCCAGAAGGTGCTGTTCCGCCAACAGTTACACGGTGTGTTGGCCACTGAGGCGGTGCAGCAGCTGCAGAGGGATGGGCTGAGGAATCTGTATCGGGGTCTGCTGCCCCCGCTGCTCCAGAAGAGCACTACAGTGGCCATCATGTTTGGCCTGTACGAGGACTTCTCTAGAGTCTTACTAGACCGGGCCGCTGGCAGCGGTATACCGGAGCTGGCAACCCGGAGCTTTGCTGCAGCGTTGGCAGGAACCGCAGAGGCCGTCCTGACGCCGTTTGAGCGTGTGCAGACTATTTTACAAGACCATCGTCACCACGGGCGCTTCAAAAACACAGTCCACACCTTCCGGACACTAGTGACTGAGCATGGTGTCAGAGAGTGCTACCGTGGCCTGGTGCCTATACTTATTCGTAACGGCCCCAGCAATGTGCTCTTCTTCGGGCTCCGTGGGCCCATCAAGGAGCAGCTCCCAGAAGTCGATAGCCGGGCAGGTCACATGGCAAGTGATTTTGTATGTGGAGGGTTGTTGGGGGCAGCCCTTGGCATTATGTTCTATCCCTTAAATGTGGTCAAGTCCCGGGCCCAGTCTCAGGTGGGTGGAGCCTTCCAGCCTTGCAGGCAGGTGCTGCTAACAGTGTGGAGAGAAAGGGGCGGCAGTGTTGCCATGCTCTTCAGAGGGGCCACTCTCAACTACCACCGTTCACTGCTCTCCTGGGGGATCATTAATGCCACCTATGAGCTGCTGCTGAAGGAGCTGTCATAATAGAGATATAGACAGCGAGAGAAAGCATTTAAAGGGAAAAACCTGTGTAAAGTGCGAGTCATTTGTTGAGAAGAAAGGAAACCGTCAAGTAAAGCCGATGTACTTGCTGTCTGGCAGCATTTTTTGGGGGCACACAGACTGAAAGACTGAAGCATAGTTGCACTTCTAACAGGGGCCAACAGTCAGTGTAAGATAACCCACCTGCCACATGCCATGACTATTTACTGTTGTCAGTATTTAAAACAAGACACGAGCTTTAGCCTATACAAACTTGTGCCAGGGTCCAATTAAAATGCCCTTGTTTGCTCTCTGTTCAAACATGTTGTTGAGCAAACAACATTTTAGCGCTTTTTTCCCACAGTTTCAAGCAAAAGTTAGTTCAATAGATTAACTGTTTCGTCGTATGTGCTGTGCTGCTTTGTGGACAACATGCGTCTGTTTGTTTGACCAAGAGTATTTCCTCTGTCAGGCTGCTTTCTGCTCCTTAACTCAAACACTTTTGTACTTTGACAACGGAAATGCCCCAAGATGTTCTGGCAAGAAGAGTGTAATCAAATATAGAGTTGGCTGTATTATTTCTATTTGTCCTCCATTAAACTATTCAGCCTATATAATTATCATATGATCAAAAATCTATCATTTCAGAAATTGTTGAAATAAGTGTGAGTGATGTATGTTCTTGGAAATACTGTCAGGCTTTTTTAAACAGTTCCTCCTTTTACACATGATTTTTGTTTTGTTTGCCGATTCAAAATGTAATGTTATTTCAGGCACAATTAGTCTTTGTTTGATTCATGAAGTGCTCCTGGCATGTGTTGTTTGAGTTTTGAGAAGTGCCCGTTGATGTCAGTAAAACACAGTTACACCCAGATCTTGTCTTGTTTGTAATTACAAAGGAAACCTCTGTTCAATCTTCACACCACAGAACATGTTTGTTTTTATTTTATTTTTATTTTACAAAACCTTTGCAGTTCCAGAAGAATACCTTTTGAAATTAATTTCACATTTTCTGCATTTGTTAATATTTGGGCATTTATTTTGTTCATTGATTTTTGAAAGTAGTGCTCTTAAATTTATTTTTCCTTTTTTATAAACTTCAAATATCACCTTTTTATACATGTAACCTCCCTCTTTCCCCTCTTTTTAAATCTTTCTTCTCTCACGCTTGCTCTCCTCTCTGTCTGTAACATCTGTTGACATAATGGGCTCAGATTTCAAGCTTGAGTAGACGCTGTCACCATGCAGCAGCTCTCGCTGGGTACGTCAGCCCGAAGAGGAAAGGCATGCTGCCTGGACATTGAGTGAGAGAGAGACTGAACTGAGTAATGGTGCTGAGAGAAGACTGAGGCAGAGGGTCATGTTGAGTGGCACAAAAAGCTCAAGCTGCCGTGTAAATGGATCACTTGGCCTATTTCTCCAATCCTTTTCATTCTCACTGTCCACAGTGTGCTGTTTCCTGAGCATCTTTCCGGGATTTTCCAGGGCTTTCTCTTCAATAGTAAGACTTGAATTATCTCCTGAAAGTGGGACACCTTCATTAATGTTAAATAATGCTGTTTATAATTGCTAACTTTTCTGTAGCACGAGTCACCAAATCACTATGAAAACATAAAATGACTAATTGCAACCAAATGAAAGGTTTAAACAATCTATTAAACGAGTTGACAGTGAACACGTCTGTTATGTGTGCTGAGATACATGATGTGTTTTTCTCAAGAGAATAGACATATACATATGGTTTACTCGTGTAATAGAGGCACCTTCTGACACTGAAAGGCTTCTTTGTGCTTTATGTCCACGGTGCCATCCTCAAAGTGACTCATACCGTGTGCACTAAATCCCTTCTTCATAATCAATCATACGAACGGTATTACCGGTACAATAGAGTTTGGTAGTCAAGCTGAACAGACCTGACACTGGATCAAAATGAAGGATGAGGCAAACACTCCAGTACACTCTTTAGTTCAACACCTCTATCTGTCATTTCTGTCACTTTCTTGACTATAGAAATAGCTCTCACAGCAGGTCTACACTTCCAGACCGTGTTTTATTTTTTACATGCGACTTTTCTAGATTACTGTGTCAAGAAGTCAGACTGCGGATAGTGATCAGATTAAGGGCAATCTGACATGGGGACTTTGGATCAGAGAGGGTTGAGCTGATAGAAAACCGCCCAGCTCTTTGGATGTTGCCTTTCCTTTTAACAAATGTCTGTCTGACTATGATCTTAAATGAAATCTTACAGTCTTCCACTCAAAATTCATTCATATTTAAGAAAGTATTTTAAAAATAGAAGTGAAAATGTTGCACTCTAGCTCTGAATAATTTAAGAGAAATTCACAGTACCAAAAGAGAAAAAGTAGGCCTAGGTGCTCCCATACATTGAAAAACACTGCATTTCCAGGTAGTATAACTCAATGGTTGAAAAGAAATCCGTCAGTAATCCTCATTAGCAGTATTAGTAGTCCAATGATGGTATAAATACAACGGCTGTTTAGACCGAGAGGTGTTTTTCCTGTTGTTAAAAGCCAGGATGGTAAATTGGATGTCTTATGACCTGATTTCAAGTTTAACATTTAGGGAGGGAGCTTTGAAGAACTGCAAGTTGTAACATGACATGAGTTGATAACTTGTATAGACAAAACCCAGACATTCAACTTCATTAAAGTCAAGGTGTAATTTATTCCCAAACAATACATTTCTTGATACATAGACTTTATTGTACGTGGGTACGGAAAAGTGACTGCTCATGTAGAAACACAATGTCCTCTTTTAAAATGAAACGCATTAGACAGTTTTACCATACAGAAACAAAACAAGTAGGTGACACAGGCACTCTTTACGGTTCGGGCCTGCTTGATGGACAACTACAGATGCTTTTGATATTAGTGCTGTGATGGACACTGGTGCTGGACCTCTGTGGCGAGTGGAAGCGCTGACATCTCACACAAAAGACCTGCCTTCTTATTTTCAAGCATAGCCACGTTTACAAAAAGTCTCTCAGTCACCTATTTGGATATTCAAAATACCGACTATCTCCTCACCAGCTGTCTCTGAACATTTACGCAGTCTTTTATTTGGCTAATCCCCTTATCATATTTGTATAAGCATCTGCTTAAGAACCCTCTTGTTGTCTTAGTTGGCTCCAATAAATTGGACAAATCATCGAATGAGTTGGCATCAAGTGACATGAACAAGCCTTTTAGTGAACACTGTACATCAGCAAACTGATCGAGCAATGTAATCCATTTACTGACAATTCACAGACATCAATATAGACAGGAGTCTTTATATTGACAAATGCTAATTCCATGCAACTTTGCACCATGTTGCAATCCATAATGCAGTAGGATTTCCTGAAACACGACAAAGCCAACGTTGCAAACAAAGAATGCATCCATTATATTCAGACAAACATAATGCAGCTATTGTTGTTTTTAAGTTAGCACAAAGAAACAAGGATGCAGTATGTGGGGGGTGGGGGGGTTTATGTTTGCATAGCCATAAACTAAGGTAGAGACGGAATAGGACACAGAGATATCCATGTATATCTACAGTTCTGACCCCAGCATACAGCAGTCAGTCCATCTGTCAGTCAGCAATGTTATTAGTGTGGTGGTGCACCCATGGAGGAAACCGTAGTGGGGAACAGTAGTGGCTCACTGTTTTAAGACTTTGGATCTTTGCTACATCTGGACATAGTTTAACAGTCACCCTTGTGCCTAGTAAAAACTACATAAATAAGGTCCCCTGTTTTGCTTCCTAGGCTCATCCACACATTCCCAGAAAATATATATGTCATGTCCTTTGGATGAAAACTAGATTAATGTTATATTACTGCATATGTTGGGGTAATGGGAGTATGTCCAAGATCCATTCACTCAGTCAGCCAGGGCCAGGGAAAGGGTAGAAAAAACACTTTACACAAGGGTATGTGTCTCATAAAAAGGTGCAATCTGTAACAGTCAAAAGTGCTCTCCCTGCTTTGTAATGGTATAGTTTTGTATCCCATTCATGTAACTATAGTTTTGAAAAACTAAATTGTTAAAAAGGTGCACATACAAAACAAATCAGTTAATACCTGTATTTTGCAAGTGTGATAAGTATATATGTTTTGTTTGTCAGTAAAACGTACTGCTATACTAAACTTGAAAAATGACAATTTACAGATTACACCTTGTGGAGTGGAGAAACCTTTAAAGCAGCAAAAGATAACATAATACTGTCTCAAAGAGAAGGACAATTCAAAATTCCAGTGACATCCATAGTTTTTTTTTCCACCGGAGACCTGAACATCACAGACCATGGTGCAAATATTGTAAAAATAAATACATAAATACATACATGGGTAATCCATCCTTACATACATACACATATCGTATCATAAAATAAGAGAATTATAAGATAATTATAAAATTCATAATGTACAAATGCATAGTCCATATGCGTCCAAGAACAGGCCAAGCAACAATGTTTTCTCTCTTTGTTTACAGTTTTGTTTGACGATGCGTGTTTTCCATGTGAGTTTGAGTATTGTAGGTTAGAGATTGTGTGCTGTGGTGTGCATGGCACTTACTGTACAAGAACATAGGGGTTACACACCACATCGCTCTGTGCTGTTTCCTCTTGGCTCGCCTATAGAGTTAGTGGGTTATTAGTGGGTAAAAGTTCACAGGTCAAAAATTGAGAGGTACGTGTCCAGGCGTGTCCGCTGTGTCTGGTGTGCGTGTCCGGAAGAGCTGTGTGAGTGCAAAAACGGACGAGATGAGAACAGTGCAGCGTTTGGCTAGTAGCCTCACCCCGTCACTCTCCCCCTGAACCTGTCCAGATCCATTGTGGCCCCCACTCTTACCCCCAACCCCAGACCCAGTTCCAGCTGTCTCAACAGCCCCAACAAACTCTCTATATAGACCCACTATCTCTTTCAGCTTGTCCATGGCCTCCTGGCTGTCATCATCCTCATCCCCGTGGCCCAGGCTGGCGTTATGGCAGAGCTCACAACCAGGGCAAGGGTTTGTTCGCAGGCAGGCTGCTGACAACTGAACCAGGGCGCTGAAACTGTTAGATAAGGAACGTAGGGCTTCATCAGGAGCCCAGCCAACACGTGTGGCCCGCTGACAGCCAGATGCCAATCGCCGAGCCTCCGCCTGGAGTAGATTCCTCTCGGCCTCTGTCATGGCGGCTGTGCTTGACCCAGAACAATTTGGGTCCGGTACTGGGGTAGTTCTGCCTTCAGTACCATTGTGATTAAGGTCCGGCCCTAAATTTAGGCCTGTTATATCCTGCTTTGAGTCTAGAACAGTTTGTTCGGGTTGTTCCAGTTCTCCCCTCTCTAAGACCAGAAGGAGTTGGTCTATATCTTGACGTAAGGAGGCAAAACCTCCCTTGAGCCCACCATAGTTTTTGTTGGTAAGCGTATGAAGAGGTCCAGTAAATGAGTTTGTGGGGGAAACCGGTCGTGAAACTAGGGGACTGATTTCAGAGGAGGCAGTGGAGAAAGTAGAGAGCGGGCGTGGGTTGTCCCTCAGCAGCGACAGAATATTGGGCTTTGGAGAGGGTGGTGTTGGAGGAGAGACCGTTGGGGGGCGGGCAGGTTTAGGGCGCGTGCGGCGGGAGAACTCGTAAACGGTTAGCTCCTCGTCAAAGCTTATACTATCCTCAGTTTCTCCACTGAAACAGTTGGCGTAAACGGTTCGGCAGCCACAAGCCTCGCGGTGCTGCTGTGGGGGGGTGGTGTCAGCTTGTGAGGATGTTGGCGAGTCCCCTCCAATTTGCATGCTGGACACACCTCCTAACCCGACTGCTGAGTGGGACCGTGACTGAGGCTGCTCCGATGATACACTGCCACTGTGCAAACTATTCCCTTTGAGGGTCAGGTTAGGGTGGGAGCCATTTGTCCCGTTGGCCTTTTTCATGTGTGAGGTCACATCCTGGGCCTCTTTGATGGTGGCTATGACAACCTCAGCTCCGTCCTCCAAAATGTTCCTTCGTGCTTCTAGCTTTGAGCTCACTGCTTCTTTTTCCTTGACTGGGGTCCTGTTTAAGTCTGATAAACCGCTGGCTACAGACAAGCCAGAACCAAATCCAGATGTATCTCCATTGATGGAGCTGGTAGAGGGATAGTCAAGAGTTCCCAAAATCTCCTGGGAACGGGTCATGTACCAAGGTAGAGCCTGGATCTTCCCCCTCAGCGCAGAAGCTGGCAGTCTGCCTCCCAGGCTGGAGGAGCTGGTCCTCAGGTCTGATCCTGATCCAGATCTGCCAGGCTCTCTGCTTTCAAGGCCCCCAACACCTGTGGAGTTGGTGGAAGTGAGCGAGGTGGTAAGGGGGGGAGGTGTATCTGTGTTTTTTGGTGACAAGCTTTCATGACTCAGAGAGACCCTCTTGGATCCCGACTGGACGCTGCCATTGCGGCTGCTCCAAGGGTGGATCCCATTTTGCGGGCTAACGCTGTCCTTAAAGATCCCTTTGGATGGATCAGTTGGGGAGACAGGAGAGCTAGCCGGTAATGATAAGGGGTGAAGATTGGTGGGAGTAGTGGGTTTGGGGGGCACTGGAGGGGGAATGGATGGCTTTGTACCTGAATTAGAGCGAGGGATCAGGGGAAGGTTTGGTGGCTTTTTCATGGGTACAGCAGTCCCATTGATCTTCCCTTCAACTTTAGTTTCTTTT